CGCCTTGTTCGGGCGCTGGGCGACGAGTCCAGCTAGGCTCAAGCATTCAATTGAAGGACTGCCGTATTGAGGACGGTTACATTATGCATAACAGAATTATGGGAGGAAAAATAGGTGAAAAATAAAAGTTTGAACGGACGAGTCCGGACGACCCATTTGCCCATCCGTTCAACTGTTGGGGAGTCTTGCACAAGAAAAAAAATCGGATTTTATTAAGTAGAGGTTGGAGCGCTGGCCCGCGGGAACTAAGTAAATCGACGATCCAGATGCCCTGGGGAGTGAATACGTGTATTGATAACAGAATGGCTTACTGTATTGTTTGTTGCATAATAGGAATCCCTCAAAAAGTAACATTTTTGCACATATAATACAATACATACCATTCGCTTACCTGAACACTGATCCTTGAAGAGTGGGACAGCAATTAGATCTTCAGCAATGCCTATTATTTTATTTCTTTTTTAAATCTTTTTTTTTTAAATACATTGTATTTACAGGTTATATAATGCATTATATGCTTAACTGCCCTATATTAAATTAAGGAAGTGAAAATTAGGAAAGAGTATGGTTATTATTTTTCTATTTCTTTTCTTGCCTTTTTTTTTGTTTGTAATGTACACCATTAAAATTCCCTGCGAAGAGCGACTAGCCTCAGTTGCTGAGTCCGTGTTGCTAATTTCTTAATTAAAAACATTTACTGCCAAATGCAATCACCTCCCATCTGATCTTACCTCTATACATGCCTAACAACCTGCTTTGGTCACCTTTAACGTCAGGGTTTACCCTGAGCCAGGAAAACAAATTCAAGCCTGCACTAGTTCAACAGAGCCTGAAGGTTGGCCCCTGATGACGCGCTTCCGGAACCCTTTGATAGGAAAAATAACGCCCAAAGATTTTAGAATTTGTAATATTTTTTCGTCCAGTTACTTCTTAAAAAATCCAACTCAGAAAGGGGGCTTTGGAAAATATTTGCTAGTATATCAATTTAAAACCTAAAGAGGAATATCCTGCCATAAATTGACCCATCACTTCCGAAAATCTAAAATACATGAAGAGCAGTGCAACAAGGCAGTCTCGTATGCAGATGGACATTTACGGTTTGAAATTTTATGCTAGTCCGACGGTAAGAGCTGAAGTAAAAACAGATCAAAATATGTTACACAGTCTTATAATTAATAAGAAATAAACTTAAAGCAATATTCTACTTCAACTATGAAAGATTCGAATCTTTTATTTAACCTTTGCTGACAACAACTGTGTGATGTCAACAACTCAACGGAATCTGGAACTCATCGACTGCAAGTAGGTAAATCTTTGCAACGTTTCAAATTTCGTTTTCACGTATATAAGCACGGGCAGTGAAAACAAACGTGCATGAACATGGAGACCTGGGTACGATACCGCCGGACGTGAGAGGTCGTTAAATAAAGAACATTCGTTTTTTACCCATCTCTATGTAACTTTTCCTAAATGTTACTTGAGGATGACAAAGGTAAAATTCCAACATGGGGGATTTATGGGATGGTTTCAGTTAAGAATTATTCTTCCAAAATTATCGAACGTGATAGACGGCCCAAATGTAAAATCCCTATACGAGGACCACGCCAGGGTTCCGGAAGCTCGCTGCGCATGCGACGTGACCTTTTACTTTCAGGCTCTATTGCCCAAAATTTAACTTACTCAGTGAACCCCATAGTGTTTACCTTTTAACTAGTGACAACAGTTTGGACCAAAATCCTACATGATTGTCTACAGTCTAAGAGAACATAATATCTTTTTCTTGAATTTGTAATGAATCTTTCTGAATGTAACGGCAAAAACAGGTAACGCGTAAGTGAAGACCAAAAACTGTGAAGATAAACAACTGGGACGCTCTATACATTATTTTGTAGATCGACGTACACAAACAGCAAAAAATGTCTGTAGGGGTTCAAAAATATAGCATAAAATAGTAAAATTTTAACTACTTGATTCACTTGAAATGTTCAACCATTACATGCATACACATTGTTCCCGGGTTCTGTGCTGATTGTTGTAGATACTAACAATACGCATTGGCAGATTCCCTCTCCCGGCCCTTGAACGAGGAGTTTTATGTATTAATTTATTTTAGTAACGAAAGGGGGTTTGCAGGGAATGTTTTATTTCCCATTTCCTCTCTAAATCATGTAAACCGTCACGATAGCGTCTTCCCTTTGAAAGGCCATGTTACGATAAGATATTTCAGAGCCACCGGCCCCCTGTCTGAGCCCACCTCTCCAGTTTTGCGGAGTTTGCATTGGTTGCATGTGGATGCTCGGATATTATTCAAGCTTTTGACGATAACAAATAAATGCATGCATGGATCTGGACCAAGTTACCTTCAGGAGTTAATCAAGGAATATCATCCACTCTGGGAAACTTTGTTCACTTTGACCTTCTACAGATCTGCTGACTCATTATCCA